ACTACTTCCACTTGGATTCCAGAACACTGGCAGCCAAGTCTTTACTCTCTAGAGAAGTTTAAAATCTATGTGGTTTTTTCTCCCAGGCATATGAACAGCCAAAAGAAAATATGTAAAGATATATAGACATAGAGGATTTACCAACAAATAGTCCAGCAGGATCACTTTATGGGGTTGCACACATAAGCCCCACCCATGTGCACAGAGTTTCTGATAAACTTTTTAGTTCCCGCACTTTTAACTATGTCCAGATAACAAATAATTCCTGACATTTGAAGAAAGCCTCCAACAGGAATAGAAATGTCAGAACAAACAGAAAAAGGCACCCAGGAAGAAATAGAGATTGTTCAAGAAGAAGACTAGGTCCGGGAGTGGGGAGGACTCTTAATAATACACTCAGAGAAATTAGAGAAAGCTTTGCATTGATGAAACCAAAGCAAGATGCTATAAAGAGAAACACTCAGAGAACAGCAAAAACCAAACCAAACCAACCAAACTGAAGCAAAACAAAACAAAAAGCCTCCTGGAAAATAAAATCATGATAGCAGAAAGGAAAAACTTACTGGAAACTTCAGGAGATAAAGCAGAAGGACAGAAGTGAAAATTAGGAGAGAAAAAAAAAATCAGAAATTTAGAGGATCAGTCCAGGAGGTCCATGCTTAATAACAGAAAAGAGGACAGAGAAAAATGGAGGGAAGGAAATTAGCAATTTTTTAATTTTTGAAATTAAATTTGAAAGGACTGACTGAGTGCCTAGCATAATGGATAAAACCAGAATCTTTCTAAAGCACATCATTGTGAAATATCAAACATGTGACAAGAAAAGATTCTTAGAATCTTCCAGAAGGGAGGAGAGAATATATTATATACAAAGGATTAAAATTGAAATGACCTCAGGCCTCTCAAGAGTAACCCTGGAAGCCAGAAGGCCAACGGGTAATGCTTTCAGAATTTTAAAGGAAAATTATTTCCAAACTATAATTTTGTACCAGACCAAATCACCAATTCACGTGACAGTAGAAAAAATATTTTGTACATGAGAGGTCTCAAAAAAAAAATTTACCTTCCACTACTTTTCTCAGGAAGCTGCTGGAGAATGTGCTCCATCAAAACAAAGGAGTGAGCTAAGAAGGATGCAAAAAATGGAAGGAGAACAAAGGACAACTGCAAAGGGCTAATGGTGGAGGGGATCCCAGGATGCTCTCAGAGCCTTCTGGTTTACCTCAGGTCAGAGCATGGCAGAAGGCTTCAGGAAAGACTTCCTGAGAGGAGATTTAGAATTCAACTCGAGATAAATACAGAGAAAACTAAGGCAGTAAGCAAATAAAGGGTAATTATTAACTCCATGGAAAACAAAAATTATTCAAGAAAGTAATCTTAGGTTACTACACAGCTCAACTGCAAACTGTGATTGCATAGTGTCTGCTCTGGGACAGAACCATTTTGTGTGATGGGATTCACAGTCTCTAGGAAGAAACCTCCAGCATCTTGATGAAAATCTTGAACTTGAAAAAGAGAAACACCAAAGAATGTGACATGATTAAGACCTTCTGGAACACCAGGTCCTCACACAGCTAGCTGACTGTCAGCCTGGGACTGAGTGATTTCTTTAACCCAATATCTTTTGTTTTTGTGTTGTTAGGGAATTAAAAATCTACACAAAACATCAAAAAGAAAGAAAGCAGTTTTATTATTGAATGAGCATAAACTGGAGCATGGACATGGTTGATCATTTGCAAAGAGAATATAAAGATAGAAAGAAATTCTATCCTATTTAAGCAGCCAAGAAATTATAATGCTTTTTCACTTCTCTATTTTTAGCCTTTCCGTACACACAAGAAAACTTAACAGCACCATTTGCTGTCTATTCTTCAGTAGTTTACCCTAAATTCACCTTTATCAAAAGAAGTAATAAAAATTTTCTATGACAAGCAGATGCCTGCCTAGAGGCTAAACTCTCACAGTTACAGGAGCCTAGAGAAGCTATCTTCCTAGGTGTTTACATTTCAAAGAGATGGCTCTCAGACCTCTTAAAAAAAATTCCCGAGTTATAAAGTTGATAAAAGGCCAACTCAGGAAGAGGTTTAAAAAAGGTGCACACACACACACACACACACACACCTTCATTTATATATGTTCTTCATTGGATGGGACCCTCCTACCCAGGGTAAAGTGCAAAATGTTTAGCATCCTTTTGCCTCACCAGAAATCAGCAGTAACGTCCAATCCCCCCTTCCCTCTCTCCACCCCAAGGATTGTGGCAATAACAAGACAAAGGGTGTGAGGAGGAGGGAGGGAAAGAGGAAAACACCTTCACACATTTTCAAATACCTCCCACAAGGGATAATGCCAGGCTGAGGTGACCAACTCATCTGGATTTGCCTGGGACCTTTCCCCTTCAACTTTCTCGTTTTTAGCCCTGATGGTTGGCACCCTAACACCCCACCACACAGACAGACACACACACACCATACATATTAGTAATCATCTAATTACAGGGAGGCTTGGGTAGCTCAGTCCATTAAGCGTTTGACAATCTTGATTTCAGCTCAGGTTGTGATCTCGGGGTCGAGGCATCGAGCCCCATGTAGGGCTCCGAGCTGAGTGCAGTGTCTGCTTGAGATTCTCTCATTCCTTCTCCCTCAGCTCCTACTTCCCCTACTTGTTCTCTCTCTCTCTCAAATAAATAATCTTTAAAAACGATAATCATCTAATTATGTGCATGTGTCAGGGAAAAATAAAAAAATTTTAAATGGAAGAAACCTGGGCTTGGATTCTGGTTCTGTGACTAAGGCAAGGGCCATAACATTTCCGGTCACAGTTCTTTCTGTTCAATTGAAATAAAAATGGTGTATCCTCTCAGGCCAGTGTGAGAATTCAGCACGTAATGAACAGCCTAACCACTTGTTTGAATTCAGGCCTCAGTTCTTCACCAGAGTTCCCACATCACTTTTTATTTATCTCTTCTTTAGAGAAATTCTTATTTGTCCCAAGTGTTAGTATGTCTGTATCCCATCTAGAACAGGAGCCTTTGTGAGCACGGATTTCCCCTTCACAGTTTTTAGTACAGTGGTTGGCAGATAGAGATTTTGTTCTACAAATAAGGATTTGTTAATGGCTGTATAATTAATACTTTATACTTTTACCAACCTCTCACGCAGTTGCGCCTTTTCCAGAGCTCCTATTGTCATATCATGGTGCTCCTTGTGGGCTTTCTTGGGCTGGATATTTCCTTGGGAGAGACTCTATCAGCATGTACACAAGTTACCCCCACTTCCTGGGCCTGCATGTCTGTGGTGGGGGCTGCACGAGGCTGCCCCCTGGGGGTCTGACTTCAGGAAGACTTTATTCACCCAAATGTTTCCCCTGTGGGCTCATCACCAGTGCCTTGCAATCTCTTTTCCTTGTGCCAGTGAGATGTGCATCCCCAAAGACAGTGTATTCATGAGGTTTCCCTCATCATGTTTCCGTGGTGGGAATCCCTTAACTGCATTCAGCCTTGAGAGGAGGTCTTGGAAAGCAGTGGGTGGGGAGATGAGGAAGGAAGTCAGAGGCACCAAGGGTCATGAGCAGGTAGGTTCCACGGGCCCCTGATGCAGAAGATGAGCACCTCACTCTGCTACCTGAGGCAGGCCCTGAGTCTGTACCTTGTGCACACATGTGGTTGGCTATGATTCCCAACTAAATTGTGTGATTTAACAGTTTCTGAGGCCACAAACTCTGATATAGTGCTTCATGTAGCGCTGAGCACACAGTAGTTGCTTAAAAACGCTTCTGCTTCAAATGATGACCGTGGTTCTAAAATGACACCCTGCAGAATGTTGACATCCTACAGTTGGTAGAATGGGACACTCATTACACTGATAGAACACACAACCCCTTGAATTAAATAATTTACCGATATAGTGCTGGTCAACGTCCTTGAGGGCGATTCTGATTGATGAAGCACTATCCTATGCCCTGGTTCTGTTAGTCTTAAGTGCCCCAAACCAGAGAATAATTTAGCTGAGTTGGGGGAGTATAGGTGCTGGAGAAGGTTCTGTGGCCCAGGGTCCAAGAAAAGAGGAGGTAAAATTAGATGACAGAGAGTCTGTCCTAGGGCAAAGCTAATGCTGCAGAGTTAACAAGTGATTCTCCAGGGCGCCTGGGTGGCTCAGTCGGTTAAGCGTCTGCCTTCAGCTCAGGTCGTGATCCTGGGGTCCTGGGATCGAGCCCCGCATCGGGCTCCCTGCTCAGTGGGGAGCCCGCTTCTCCCTCTGCCGTTCCCCCTGCTCGTGTTTTTTTTTCTCTCTCTCAAATAAATAAAATCTTTAAAAAATATAAACAAGTGACTCTCCTGAAACTCTTCCACCCAGCAGATGGGGCTAGCCACCATCTCACCCTTTTTCTCATCAGTAGTTTTCACTGAGGGGCGCCTGGGTGGCTCAGTCAGTTAAGTGTCTGCCTTCAGCTCAGGTCATGGTCCCGGGGTCCTGGGATGGAGCACACCCCCTGCCCAGTGTGGTTCTAAATCTGAGCAGGAATCCCTGCTCAGTTGGGAATCTGCTTCTCCCTCTCCCTCTACCCCTCCCCTCACCCGCGCTCTCTCTCGCTCTCTTTTTTAGCTCACTCTCTGTCTCAAATAAATGAGTACAATTTTAAACAAAAGTTTTCAATTAAAATTTGAAACTACAATTTTTATCAAAGAAATCAGTGATGGAGTTTGCCAGATAAAATATCAGGTACCCAGATAAATTTGAATTTCAGATAAACTATGAATAATTTTTTAGGATGAATGTGTTCTAAAAATTGCATGGAACTTACATGAAAAAATCATTCATCATTTACCTGGAATACAAATTTAACTGAGCTTCCTGTATTTTTATTTGCTCAATCTGGCAATGCCAGTCAATGAGCTATAGGATTCATTTCATGGAAATCCACATTACAGCTAACTTCCATGGAAGTACCTTTAAGGAGACACAGCCCTTCATTTACACACTCACCACACCACAAAAGGCAGACAATTCCTCCTTTAATGTGCTTCACGTTATTTTGATGACCTTCAGGTCAAATTCAGATTCAGTTACAAGCCCCATTGGCTAGTTTTATCTGTGTAATAGTTGAGGTCTTCTATGTGATAATGACCTTGGGTTTGTTCTGAAGTGTTAGAAGCCATGTCTGTTGAAGTATTTGGCTCGTGCAAGGACATCATTGCAGAAGTCACACCTCAGGTCCTGGCTGCTTCTGATATAGCTGGGAGCTCCAGCATAAGCACAGAGTCCACCTGGAATTTGTGAGATGGGTTAATGCTGACCTTATGGCCCCTCGTTGCTTCCGGGTCTCAACAGTTAACTTAGATTCTCTTTCCTAATTGCTCATCAGGAGGCAACTGAGGTTTTGGGGAATCTCATGCAAGGTCTTATATTTGTTCTTATTAATTCCATGCTGTGAAACCACCAACCTATGGGTTACACCTACCTCTCAGGTACTGGTCAGAGGTCCAGGTTGGAAACCTCCTCTGGATTTCTTTGATCCTAACAGTCAGAACCTCGGTTATCTGAGAAACCTGGGACTCGCTGATCCAGGATGTGGGAGCATAAAGACCAGGGTCCTAGAGGGAGGGAGGCAGAGGAAAAGCTAGGTAAGCCATGTGGGAGGATGCAGGACTTCATGGGACCAGTGCTGCTTTCTCATTTCCCTCCTTTTTGTCTCCTCCTCCTTTGGCGGAACTAATGCCACCTCTGATCTCCCTGCGGATAAACAGTAAAGCTACAAGGTTTGGGCAAAGGACATTTCGCCGCTGCTTCATTGTAATGGTGAGAGGCAGAGTTGGAAGCCAAAGGTGACAGAGGTAATGGATGTACCAGTCCGATGCCCTCCTTCAATGCTGCAAACACAAGCCTTCCAAATAGGTCAGAAAGGGGTTTTTCTATCTGCACTTGTAATTCTCCTTCAGATATCTGAATGTCTAAATGTACTTCTAATTTTTCTTATATACTTTTGGTTCCCGTTCCATAAGAGTTTCAACATATTTAGGAGAAATGTCTGACTCTGGAGAATTCTTTCATCTTCAAAGTAGATAAACAACGCATCCTTTTCCCAAGAACAAGAGTTTATGAAGGAGTCAGAGCAGGGTATCGGAAATGACGCTGACCCTAACATCGCCCGTGTTGCTCTTGGTCCCGGTTCTGCATTTTCCAGCTGCCATGTGACTTTGCAGCAATGACTCTCTCCTTGTAAAACCATTTCCTCACTTGGAAAGGATGGATTACATGCCTTCCTCCTCACCCCATCCTCATCAGATTATTTGATGGCCCCCAAATCAAAATAAGATAGAGTATTTGAAAGTACTTTTTAAATTGCAAACTGTCATCCCAAGAACTAATGCGAAACCAGTTTAAAGATCACTGAAGAATACATTTTCCTAAAAGCTTAAGAAATGACTACTACTACGCTTCTCAACTATGACAACAATGTGAAATGCAATAGAAAAAAATCACAGTGCCATTGTCTCCTTGCCATCACTGATTACCCCAGTACACAATTAATTCAACTGTGGGGTCAATGCCCAGTTCCCTGGGAGACTCTATGAGACAAGTGAAACCAGGCAGAATTTGTGCAAAAATGAAACTGGATCTTCAGAACCAAAGATTGTATAGAAAGAAGACAAAGGAGAAGGAATTCAGTATTTACTAAGAATCTGCCCGAAACTAAGTATGTTTTCACATCGTTGCATTGAGTCTTCATAACAATTCTAGGAGGCTGGTGTTTTATAGGTGAGGAAACTGAATCCTAGGGAGATTAAATGAGGTCACATGGTTGCAAAATAACAGAGCAAGGATCCAGAATAGGGTACCATGGATGATATTCTGGAAACACAACCCAGTTGGTTCTGCAAAGAAACCATGGCTCACAATGAAGCAGTGATGTTGCTACTGTTATCAGGCAGAGCTGTGGCTGTCACAGCTCTAGGGAGCACCTTTCAGTCTGTGTCCCATAGAGCTGGGCTCCAAGGTGTCAACAACAACAAATGTGAAGGTGTCCGCCATAGCGTTGTGCCATGCAGTACGACAGCCAAATGCCTCCAAACGGAGGGTTACCTGCACAACCCCGATGCCATTGCCCATGTTGCCCACATTGACCATAACGTTGCTGCCATGAGACCCCCTGGACAAGACTCCAGCGATCACTGCAGGATCCACACAGTATTTTTGGCCAACAGTACGAATCACGGGCTGGTATCTCAGGAGGTATGGCATGTCTATTTCAGCCAGCCTCTCCGAAGCACGAACTCCTAATGCAAACACAGAAGGAAGGATGTGGCAGGTGTGACTTATGCTGACATGAGAGCTCAAGAGGAGAGAAATCACACTCCAAGAATCTGGGCAGTGGTCTAGGACCAAGAAGCCCATGTCTCAGTCTGAAATCCCTAGTGGCCATTTCTAGACCTGAGAGTATGATTCTCCTCCTTTAAGCTTGAGTTGGCATCCACAGAGGCAACGTCCTTTGTGGCTGCCAGTGCCCCTCGCTGGGCTCTCAGGGGCTGCTCTGGCCCACGCAGGACAATTCCCTGGGCGCAGCACATTGGTCCCATCCTAAGCACCCCAAACAGAGTGACCCAGTAAAATGTACCTGTTCATCAGCCACAACGAGCACCATATACAAAAGAGAGATTCTCCCAACCCCATCAAGAAGTCCTTGGAGAGTTTCCCTGACAGATTTGCTCACTCTTGCCTGCCTTTCCACCCTAAAGCGACACCTAGAAATTGCATGAGCTTAAACTTTTGTAAAAAAAAAAACAAGAGATGTTGGGCAAAAGGAAAACCAGTACTAATTTACCTGGCTAGCTCATTTACCTTGTAAGTATTTTTTGTGTTTCAAAAGCACTCTCATCCACATTCTATCAACCAGAGTTTACAACAAAATTGTAAAATGAGTATTTTTAACACCTTTCAGTGGAGGCAGAGGAGAACTAAGTGACTTGTTGAAGAACCAGAGCCCACACTCAGACAAGTTCTTTGGACTCCACGTCTAGTGCTCTTCCCGTCACTTAGGAGTGTAGGGCTGTGGGAAATAGTGGGAACCAAACGGATACGTTGAGAGGATCAATATTTGTGGGGAAGGACAGGGAGACACGGGTGTGGGGTATCAAAAGAAGGGATAAAATTCTGTTAAAGTCACACTTGCCAAAAGGAGGCACCTTTCTAAGAGAAAGAGGAGGAGGGGAGGTGGACAATGAGATCATAACCTACCACAGTAGTTCAGGCCATGACGCTTTCCAATCCCGCAAGAAGCCCCAGGGGTCTCAAAGTTTCGGATGTTTCCATAGCATCCCCAGTTGCTGCTTTCAGAGGAATCTACAAATTGAGAAATTTTCAGCCTAAGGCATTGAACTAGAAAAGTTTTGATCGTCTTCCGTCCACAAATGAAGCGCCATTAATAAAAAGAATTTTACCAAAATCAATAACAACAAGAACTTCACTCTGAATTGAAACACTTTTGAAATTTACAGTATAGTGACTAGGAAATTATCGTAGAAACCTCCTCGATACTAAATTGTCCCTTCCTATCCTGCAGGCACGAGCAGCTGTTGGAGCAGCTATACTCCTTGCAAAGCCCTGGGCTGTCCAGTGCTGTTGAGTTGGTCTTGGAATCAAACCAGAGGATCTGTTCCCTGTAACTAGTCTTCATCCTACATCTTAGGTGAACTCTCAATACTTCTCCCTCAAATATTCCTGCCTGGCTGGTCTGGTGAGATATTTATGGTTGTTCTGGAGAAACATATATAAAGCCTAGGCTTCCCTGGGGTCTCAACCCAGACCCAAAGTAAAGGCACTGGGACTTGGAGCTGGCTTTCCCTGGTGTTCTGGATGGTGTGCTCTTCTAGATGGGGGTGCCTAAGACAGCAAAGAGAGGTGGACATGTAATGGGGCACAGGACCAGGTCTCCACAGGGGGGCTCCCTCTTTCCACGTCTTCCTTTTTGGTCTTTGCCTTTCCATCTCTCTCTCTCTCTCTCTTTACCTACTGCTATCCTTCCAGGGAGGAGAGGTTTTTCACAAAGGCCGCTGAAGAGAAGGGCATTCCCTAGTATTCATAATTCATAGCAGAAGGATGCATAAGCAGTAACAAGATACCTACAGGGGACAGGAAGTTGCCCACTGAGAAAATCATCTCACTGTGATAAGCCTGTAAGGACTTCTCATTAGATTATTCTTTTTTATTTGCTTTATTCTTTGCTTATATCATCAAATCTTAATGGTTTGCAAGTCTTCGGCAACAAATCCATTGCACATCATCATATGTGCATTGTATGTTTATATAAATGCCTTTTAAGGTTCTATTTTCTTACTAAGAGCTTCTTGGAGTTGACACCTGAAATAGTAATATTTTGGAGTAAACGCTTCTACTTTACAAACTTTTGATAAGAAATCTGAAAGAAATGTGGAGATGAAAAGACCTGGTCTTTTACGAGTGTACCAAAAATTAAACAAGACAATTTGTCCTTTTTTATTTTTTTTAAAGATTTTATTTATCTGAGAGAGAGAGAATGAGAGATAGAGAGCACAAGAGGGAAAAGGGTCAGAGGGAGAAGCAGACTCCCTGCTGAGCAGGGAGCCCGATGTGGGACTCGATCCTGGGACTTGATCCTGGGACTCCAGGATCATGACCTGAGCTGAAGGCAGTCGCTTAACCAACCGAGCCACCCAGGCGCCCCTGTCCTTTTTTATTTTTTAATCAGTATACGTTTATCTTTGTAACTGGTGACAAATACTGTTAATATTGTAATGGGTTGTGTCATTCATTGCTTCCTGCCTTGTAGCCACTCCCTCGTCACATTAGATGCTCCTTAAAGTTCCTTATATTCCCCAAATATCTTTTAGAAATTTAAAGTACTTGTTAAATAAATGGATCAATCAATAAATGAATGAATATAAGACCCCCTCTGAAAAATCATCAGAATTTTGAGCCGGGAAAAAGTTTGCTTCTCCTGAGGAACTATGCTTCCTCCTTTTATTTATTAAAAAACATGTACTTTTCCCTTTTGGTCTGCAAGGAACCTTAAGACCAAATCCAAAATGCAAGCATAGCAATTATGTCAGCCTCAGTGGTTAGTTTAGTCACATGTCCTTGATCCCCTCCATGCTAGTTTTCTATTTGAAATTATATTAGTCTTATTATCATAAACCATCTCAATCCTTTTATGGAAATACATGATCTATTAATAACTTCAATAACTTTGGTGAGATGGTTTTTATAGAGGAACAATGAGTACTTATCAATGATGTATATTTAAAGTCCAGCCTCCAGCAATGTTGGTTTAAGCCCACTCCACATTCTGGAGAGCCTCCTCCTTTTGTGGGGCATCTGGAAAGAGGCCATTCATCAGTGGTTGTTACTAAGTCCAGTATTTATTGGACAACTTAGAAGAAAAACAACATTTTCTACCTCAGTTTCAAGTATCAGAAATACCATTCTGTTCCTATGCTTATCCTTCCCAACTCCAAGGTCATATGGGACAAATTAAACATACTCACCAGTAAGGGCAAGAAGACCCAGAAGCAGCCATAGCACAGACATACTGATGAGCTGGCTCTACAGGTCCTAAAACAATTTTAGAATAGAAATTAGATCAAAGATGTGAAAACATCTATTATCATCATAACAATATGTAATGTTTCTATGGAAAAAGGCAAGAAAGAAAGAAAGAAAGAGAGAAATAGAGAGAAAGAAAGAAAGAAGTTTTCCCATGTCTGAACTAAGAAAATTAATGATCTGAATTATAATGAGAAAAGCAAAAGTAAGAGACTTGTGCTCCATCCATCCTTTCAATTAACTTAAAAATGATGAGACTCCTGCTTGGCTCACAGGGACTCACCAGACCATCGATTTACCGAAGAGTAATTATTTCAGGAAACCAAGATACTTTGATTCTCAACACCGAGAAACATAGTGACCTGGGTCCAGATCCTGAAAAGCAAATTTTTGATGCATGTGCCTTATCCCAGTAGTAGCCGTTTCATTATCAAAAGATAATGTGAAAAGGAGAATTTTATATTAGTGTTTCTTTTCATCTGAGCTCTTTTTCCTTTAGTGTAAAGGAAAGGTAACACATTCCTCAGTGTCTTGGAACATACTCTGCTTTGACTGGAGGAAGGAACTGGTAGACCTTTCCCACTGCTCTAATCCCGCAGCCTGAGAATCTCAGATCCCTTTGGCTACCTTGAGCCATGCTCCCCATTCCCCTTCTGCAAAACTCCTGTGCAGGAGAAAACCTAGTCAAATCCCCAAAAGTCAGGTCATGGGCAGGATTAAACTCATATGGTGCTCACTAGACGGGAGAAGTGATAACTCGTCATTGGCATGCACTTGCACTCACTCGCTTTCTGTCTTTCTCATCTAACCACTTCTCTAACCACCTTCCATGGGTACAAAGAGCCTTGGTTCTCCCACTAGCTACCAAATGAATAGACAAATGCCACCCAGAATAGGTTGCAGTTGACCCCTGTCAATGCCGGAGGATCTGGCCTCCTGCCCCCAAAGCCTCCACCTCCTGCAACCCCTCCAACTGCAGGGTGTTCTCATCCTCTCTCTGGGTCAGGGGGGCCTGGCTACCTATCATTTTTAATTATTACTGTCATTATAAGTAGGAGTATGCATATAAACATGGCAGTTGGCACTTTCTCATCTCTTTTGCTTCAAGGTTATTCTTACGAGTGTTTCCTTCCAAACACCCAGGAAGAGATTTTGTCTCAAGATAAAGGAGAGGTATTAAGGAAGTTATGTAAATTAGGTCTTATACCAAGCAGTCGTGTGCTCCTCAGATATGGCCATGTTTTTTGTTCCTCTTCCCTACAACATTGAGATGGTCTACCTGATATCCCTTAGTTGAGCAGAAAATGCCATGCTCAGTCCCAACACCAGAAAGATTCAGGAACGTGGTATTTTAGCTGGGTCTGCAGAAATTCCCAGGTTCAGTCACTGGCCAAGAATCACTTATTCAACATCCACTGAGCCCCCCCCCCCCCCCCCCCCGCCACTCTGCCACACTGACGGAGAGGACACTCAGTCCCAGGAAAGAGAATGGAGAAAGAGCCACTTAGGTACAGGAAAAGTTCATACAGTCTTAGGAAAGTTGATCTTTCCAGAGGCTTCTTCCTGGCTTTATGGAAAGAACCCTGCAGAAAAGAACACAGCTGGCATCCAGATGCTAAACCCAGGGTCTTTTACTCCGTTGCTGCTTTCCCAGGGGAAAAAATACTTCCTCCTGGAAACCCAAGTGGAAAAAAAGGACTTCGTCTTCATTGCGACATGAAAGCTACCTCACGTTCCAAGCATGGAACTAAAAGCTCTGTTGAAAAGAGTCTATGTAATTCTATGTGTCAGTTACTTAGAAACACAGAGTTCCTTTTTGTCACATTTTAATTACATGAGGAAAAAGCAAGAAGTGACAATGGAAATAAACGCAGCATATTGAAGCAACTCAGGCTCTGTGGCCCAACTTTATAGATGCCACAAAACTCTCTGTGTTTAGAAGGGACTGTTGAGGCACGGCGGGAGCGTGCTCAGGGAGTGTCCATTGGTTACCTGTGACTAAACTCTTAATGCCCCTGTGGCTCCATGCCCTTGAAACCATTATTAGAATGTCAGACAATAAAGACAGCACAGTGCTCATAATGCCAAGCACAGTATCTCTGGTGGCATCCCTCTTCTCCCTTCCTGGAGAGCGAAACAGTGACAAGCAGCACAGGGGTGTCAACAAGCTGGAGACAGACACCCCAAGCATCCCTTGGGGTCAGTTCAAGTTCCTGGTGGCCTCTACCCACCTTTCCTCCACCTAGTGCTTTGTCATTCCCAAAGCATCATTTAGATTTGTAAGGTGTAGTAGACCATTTACTCCTCTCTTAAACTATTTTTCTGAAAAAGGTGGAAATAAAGGTCTTTGGTCTTTAATCTCACCACAGAACTCCTGTTCTTTTTCCAGGAATGCTCTCCTAGGTCTTCACAAGAACCCTTAAACCATAGCCACTCCACATCCTTAGGGCCCTCCAACCAGCCTGGAAAATGTGCTGTATTAGTGTCCCGAGGTGCTGGGCAGGAAGGTGGCCCTGTCCCATTGTGGCCCCCCATTTGATCCTGGAAGAATTGAGGACTACTCTACACATGCACGTTACAGGTCTCCCACTCCACACTGTCGACTCACCCTGCTTTTACTGCTAACTGGTCTCTCCATCTGCTTGCTCCCTGTAGGCTGATAGGCTTTTCTAGCAGCATCTCGTCTTAGTCATCCACCCACTTGCTGCCCTGTTTTTACCCTCCCTCCTCACACACAGCAACACCCCAGCCCATTGCCCTGCAGATGGCTCTGCACTAACAGGTCCTAAATTAAAATGGTAGCGGGGGGGCGCCTGGGTGGCTCAGTTGGTTAAGCGACTTCCTTCGGCTCAGGTCATAATCCCAGGGTCCTGGGATCGAGCCCCACATCGGGCTCCCTGCTCGGCGGGAAGCCTGCCTCTCCCTCTCCCTCTCCCCCTGCTAGTGTTCCCTCTCTCGCTGTCTCTCTCTCTCTCTCTCTGTCAATTAAATAAATAAATAAAATCTTTAAAAAAATAAAAATAATAAAAAAATAAAATGGTAGCAGGGACAGTCACAAATATCAAATGTTTCTGCCACTATGATCACATTTTCTTGAGAAAATCTAACTTTTTAGAGTAAAATGTGAGGTTCCTTCCGAACTCACTCTTTGGCAGTGTTACATCGTCTGTGAAAATATACGTTTCCTGAATTTGGATTGGGGGCAGATTACCAGCCCCAAAGAGCTTGGAGGTGTGATGGTTTCTCTTCACTCTCTGTGGGCAAATCCTTTCCTTCTCTCCATAAGGCCTCTGTATCTGTTTTCCTCACTTTGCCCATCTGGGATTCCCAGAGTTGAGAACTCCAGGAAGTCTCCTCTCCTAGTGCTAGGACCTGTCCCAGGAATATCCCTTTCTGAACAAAGATCATATCAAAGAGACCATGGCCTCTCTCTTCCATCCAATACTCTTGAAGCTTGTCTGTCCTTTTACTCTGCCAGGCTTCAGCTGTTAGGCATGTTGGCCTTTGTCCTTTCAGAGCTTCCAGAGAAAAATAGGGTTCTGTTACAGAGCCATCACACAAGGTATATGGGGTTAAAGTACCATTGGCAGGAGGGTGAAGGTCGGGGAGAGATTGCTATCTGGGAAAATGCCAACACCTCCATCGTTTGGCTTTGAATTCACAGCAAAGACATCCCATTCAGCCTATTGCAGCTTCCATTAAAGGCACATGTATTTCTATTCTTTTGCACATGCTCACAAATCCAAAAGTAACTATATACTTGCATTAACAGAAATCTAGGTTTTTATAAGTATTATAATGAATAGGGAAAAAAATCATCCCATCATCTACATAATCTTTTATAACTTGGGCTTTCCTTGTGAGGTCCTTGAGTTTTATCCTACTCCAAATTGCCTTGTTTACTTAGCAGCAAAGACACAATCATTACCAATCGATCACCACAGACTGGATCTTTCATTCTCGATAAGCCTGAATGTAAGTTCCACCAACCCGTCTTGGACTCACCTGTCTTCTGTTACCTCTTGTCCTTAGAGGCAGTCAGTCCGAAATGCTTTATATAGAGTCCCTGTCCTGCCTCCTCTTTTTAAAAGTGTTGACTCCATCCTCTTATGAAAAGATTTATGGCTAAGTCTTACAAGTTATAGAAATAATCACAATAATTACAAATACTTTGAACTTATATAGGGCTTTTTATTCAGGAATGTCCTGGCATTTTGCAAACATTAACCAAATAGTTCCCTACCAGACCTTGTAAGGCAGATCATAGTTTGTAAATTCATGTTGATGATTTCAATCCAACATTTGCTTTAAAAAAAAAAAAAGATTTTGTTTATTTATTTGAGAGAGACACAGCGAGAAAAGGAACACAAGCAGGGGGAGTGGGGGAGGGAGAAGCAGGCTCCCTGCCAAGCAGGGAGCCCGATGCGGGGCTCGATCCCAGGACCCTGGGATCATGACCTGAGCTGAAGGCAGACGCTCAACAACTGAGCCACCCAGGTGCCCCCCAACATTTGCTTTTATTTGCACCAGTTTCTAGGAATAAAGGCAGTTAAGAAAAGAAGGAAGAAAGGAAGGAAGGAGAAAAGGAAGGAAGAAAGGAAGGAAGGAAGGGAGAAAAAATTGAATTTGGAATGTCAAAAAATGCATTCTTGATCTGTATTTCAGGCAAGCATAACCACACCTTAGACAGGCTGAATAATGCTCTTTTATATACGTCTAGTACATACGGTTTGTTCCTAAATGTCTACCTCAATAAATACTTTGAGAGGTTTTTTATGAAGTTTCCAGGAAGGACTCTTCTCCTTAGATTGCCCAAGGGATGAGTTTCATAACTACAAGAGGGAACCCTTTCTATCACCAACCACACCCTTTGCCCCATCTCTACTGAAGGACCTGATTTTCCCCCAACACAGCCCCAACATTTGCTCTATGCCTTCTTCCTGCAGGCTCTTCCCCAGGCCTGAAATGCCCTTAGGGACAGGGACAGGGACTGTGTCTCATTTGTCTTTATAACCCCACCACCTAACACCCTGCCTGACACATAGGGGATACTTAATAAAACCCGTGGAATAAATGGCTTGCTCATTGCTAATTTGTTTATAATCTCCTCTGCATCTTCTGCCTTCTCCCCCTGCCGCCACCCTGCCATAACTAGAATGTAAGCTCTGAGCAGTGACTTCGGCTGCTTCATTATGACTGAGTCCTCAGAGCCCAGATCAGAGCCTGGCACATTATGGGTGTTCGGTAAATATCTGTTGAATCAGTCAAGGCATGCAGAATTCCTACAACCTCACCCACCAAGATTCAGATTGGGTCCCCAGCGCCAGGTCCTGGGGTAAGCTTGCTTTGCTCATGTCCCATGCAGCCCTGTGGATATTTCTATCACTGTACCTGTGACACTTTTTTTGGGGGGGGGAGGTTCTGGTGCAGGCTGAAAACAACATGAGAGCAAAGACTGGGTCTTTTTTCCTATATTCCCTAAATGGAATAGGAGATATTCAATAAATGTTTCTGGCAAGAATAAACAAATGAAGTAAAGGATACTTATGATGAGGGAGATCACTGACAGGTCATTTGCGGCTTAGACTTTGGGGATTAGGATTTTGTTGCTCTCTATCAATGGCTGAGATGATGAAGTAAGGACGCAGGGCACTGTGATCAAGGATCCAGACCTGGACACCCAGGGAGTTCCTGACCTTTAAATTTGGGGAGGAGGATATGAGAATTGGGGTTTCCTCTCTGTTGTTGGCAGAGTTGGAATAAAAAGCAGAACAATAATGTGCCCCATTAAAAACCATATCCCTACCCAAAACTGGAACCCTCTCTTTATTTTGTCTAGCACACACCAACAACTATTACAATGTGAGGAAATGTGGGAACGCCCTGACCCCATCTGCAAAAGCACCATGTCGCCAGGGCTGATCTAACCCAGTGCCCATGTTCATGTCCTAGAAGGTTCTCGCTGGTGGGCGGCCAGGATGTTGCCAAGCAACAGCTCCGCAGAAATGATGCCTATCTAAGCCTCAGGCTTATTCAGTCCTCAGCCAGTCCCCATATGGACACTTCCTCCAAAAACCTGGTGTACCTCAGTAGGGGAGGTGGTGGGGGTATCAAAAAAAGCTTGCTGCACTTAGACTTAAGTGAGACTAAACAGAAACAGCTCAAGATATTCCCTGGCCTGCCCCGGGAGCCAGGCGAGCAGAGACAGCCCTTACAATTCTGATGCCAATTCTGACCTGTTTTTTTTTTTTTTTTTTCTTTCCCATACCAGGCAATTCTGTGACACCAGCTGGGTGTCCTACAGTTCAACTCAATTCTGACACTGTCTACCTGGAGACAACATCAGATCGCAGGTTAACGGCTCAGTCCTACGAGACTGCCCCCATCCCACGTCAGACACCAATCACAAGACCAGGTTGTCACCTGTGCTTCTGACTGACAGGCTATAAATCTGAGGTTCTGAAGACCTCTCCTTGGGTCAAGTGGCTCACAGAACTCAGAGAAACTTTTTTTCTTTTTCTTAAAGATTTTATTTATTTGACAGAGAGAGACACAGCGAGAGAGGGAACACAAGCAGAGGGAGCAGGAGAGGGAGAAGCTGGCCTCCCACTGAGCAGGGAGCATGACGCAGGGCTTGATCTCAGGACCCTGGGATCATGACCAGAGCCGAAGGCAGGCGCTTAACGACTGAGCCACCCAGGCGCCCCTCAGAGAAACTTTTTATAGTGACTAGGTTACTGGTTTGTTGTAAAAGGATATAACTCAGGAACAGCCAGATGGAGGGGATTTGTAGGGCAAGGTATGGGGACAGGGTATGGACCTTCTGTCCTCTCTCCAGACACACTACTGTCCCTGAATCTCCATGTTCACCAACCCTCTCCTCTTGGATTTTTCTTATGGAGGCATTACTTAGCTGTGACTGATTAAATCACTGGTCATGGAGCTTGAACTCAATCACCAGCCCCTCTCCCCTACGCAGAGGTTGAGTGGGTTGGTGGGGGGACTGAAAATTCCAACCCTTTAATCACAAATTCGTGTCTCCCACCCCTCAACCCAGGCCCCATCCTCTGGAGCTTTCCAAAATCCACCTCATTAACATAATAAAAGGCATCTTTATTGTTCTTATCCCTTAGGAAATTCCAAGGATTTTAGGAGCTGTGTACCAGGAATAGGGATGAAGACCAAATATATATTTGTTTTGGTTGTTTTAGTAATCCAGTGGTGTCTTTATAAGAATTGGAAGAGATACCAAGATGCATGCACGCAGAGAAAAGGCCATTTGAGGACACAGCAAGAGGATAGCCATCTGTAAGCCAGGAAGCGAGGGCTCAAGAGAATCCCAACCAGCCAACACATTGATCTTAGACCCTCCAAAATGTGACAAAAATAAATGTATGTTGTTGGAACCCAAATATATATTTCTTTTTTTGTTGTTTTGGGTTTTTTTTTAGGATTTTATTTATTTATTTGTCAGAGAGGGAGCACAAGCAGGGGAGCAGCAGAGGGAGAGGGAGAAGCAGGCTCCCCACTGAGCAGGGAGCCCGATGCGGGACTCGATCCCAGGACCCTGGGATCATGACCTGAGCCGAAGGCAGCTGCTTAACCGACTGAGCCACCTGGGCGTCCCGCAAATATATTTCTTATTACGAATCACAAGCGTATACTCCCTCACCTCACTCCCACCCCAGCCTTTCTTCACAGACACAGGATCTTCTCAGTTTGAGTATGTGCCTTAAATGAATTTAGCTTTCTTATTCTTACCTTGAGGCTGGGTTCTGCGTAGTATCCCTCCAAAGGAGCACAAATCAATTGACAAAAGCCCTGAAAACAAATAGATAGCTTTACAGGAAATTACATTGAGAGGCACCAAAAGGAAAATCACTCTGTACATCACCCGACTTCCTCAAATCCTCTTGGCTCATCTGTCTCTCCAAAGTTTCAGAAAGTGTCTGCTCCCAACCATACTATTCCTTCTCAGAATGTCTCCTAAACAATATCCTTTTCCCCACCCTTCTCTCCTCTGGTACCTCTTGGCATTTTCTAATACCCCAGTAAAATAATAAATACTACAAGATTCTGTTGCATATAGGTTGAAAGCATTTATTGAGCATATTATGGAGTGTCCTGATTGGATGGGGGCCTGGCAGCATGAGCGGTGAGAGAATTCACCCAAGAAAGAACAAAGGAGATAGAAGTTTATTGAATACACTGCAAGGAGCGGTGAGCAGGACAGCAAAGGAGAGACTGTCTGCCAGGAGGAGGTGGTGAGGGGCCACAATCATAGGACAGGGTGAGGGGGTATGGGGGGCATATGGAATTTTCCCTTTTTTGGTAATCTTAGGAACTGTGTTTGGTTGTAACTGGCCAGTTAGGGCCTCTGGTTATTTCAAGGTGGGTTGCTCAATGAGCCTGTTTGTATCAGTTCTGTTGCTGTGGGCCCTTTTGCCTTGATCAGGTTTCCATTGCTCAAGTCTGTTGCCTAAAAGTGGCCTCTACACATCTCAGAATCTGTTGCAAATGTCATCTCTTTTACTCCTTACTTAAATATCTGAGTTGACAGATGAGGAAAGTACCTTGCTTGGGAATGGAGGGACTGAGTTAAGAACCCAGCTTCTCTCTTCCCCTGGATGCCGCCTAAGGTAGCATTCAGCTCATAAATTCTGGGCCATCTCTTTCAGGCACGTGTTTCCTGGACTCCTGTTTCTTCAGTCTCCTTCAGTCCTGAGTGGAGCTACTATCTTTGGTTGCTATTCATGTCTCTGAGAAATGGCTTCTCATGGACCCTGCCAATTCTATGATGACTTCCAACTCCTCTCCCTTGTACCTGGGTCTTCCAACCCTAAGAATCCTAGTGGTCTGAGGGAGCATTGTCTATAAACCCTCCTGGACACTGCAGAAAAATAGCAGATTTATGTTTTAAAAGTATCCTCTGTCTGCCAATTAGATTGGAGGTGAACAAGAGTTGAGAGATATTGCAGAAGACCACATGACAGATGGTGGTTGCACTAGGATGTGTGTAAGAGAAAGGAC